CCCTCCTTGTCGCTTCGTCGATAAGGGCCACCGAACCCCCTCCCATGCGTATTTCGCTAACAGATCAGTCAAGAGGTGGCCGGAAATATCTCATCGCCACCGACTGTCTTCACCCTCCTTCTATCCATTCTGTCGACTGAATCACCCAAACACCCCCTTTTCCTTTCTTGGTTGTTGCTCGTCTATTACAGCAGCCCAAGCACCCTTTCTCGTCATCTTCTGAACCACTGACTACAACGATCGTCTCCGTCTTCCTCCCTTTGCAAATTATCGCCGGAGGATTGCTTCCTTCCACCCATTGACCACCACTACTGATGTTGAGAATCTCCGGTCCACCACCTGCTGCTGCCGTCATTAGTAAGCTCTCGCCGTCTCGGTCTCTTTAACTTCACCAGCGCGATTTCAGTTGTGTCCTTCATTTCGTCGATTGAAGACAACTGATAACGAATCGCAAAATTGCCTCTTCCCTTGACCTACAACTCAAGATGGACTGATAGAAGGTGAACTGTTCAAATAGGATAGGATTATTGATGATTCATTAAAGAATACAAAAGGAGACGATGAAGAATCAAATAGGATATGATTAGGTGGAAAAGGGTGAAATTTAGATGGAGGTGTGATACCTCATCAAGCCATGATCGATGCAATTAGGGCAAAGAGGGAGAGACTACGACAATCACGGGCTGCTGCCCCTGATTACATAACATTGGATGGAGGGAGTAATCATCGTGAAGCTGAAGGTCTGAGTGATAAGGAGCCATAATTTCAAGGAAGAATTGCCTTGATTGGGAGAAATTAAGGCTAAGAAGGGTGTTTTTTGACTTTTTCTTATTAATGTGAGAAAGGAGAATGAAGGCGGCAATGAGAGAGAGAGAGAGAGAGAGAGAGAGAGAGAGAGAGAGGAGATGAGAGAGAGAGAGAGAGAGAGAGAGTTTTCTTAATTTTTTAATTATAAAAATAGATAACAAATGAAAGAAAAATGAAAAAGAAATACCTCAAGGGTATTTTAGTCTTTTCAGTTTTTCGAGGGACCAAAACTACAAGCAAACCAACTCATAAGGACCACCGATCCAAAAAAGTCGAGGTTTGGACTAAAACCCTAAAAAAATGCATACCACAGGGACCATTTTTGTAATTTTGTCTAAAAAATATACTAAACGGCATATATATAAGTTAATTTGCATTGCTATTTACTTTTACCACCTAAATATCATTAAACAGTAAAAATGGTTGCATTCTAATGAAGTTGTTGCTTTCGCTTTCAATAACTAATGCGA